GATCGGGCTCTTTGCAGTCACAAGAACTGCTCCTTAGGACAGGAAATCTGGGTCCCTAAAGGGAACCAGGGACCCAAAAAGCAATGTGGGCTCCATGGGTTTGGAGCTCAGCTTCTCAGGTCTCCTCCTCCAGGAAGCCCTCCCTCACTCAGACGGGTCAGGCCCTGCTCCAGGTTTCCCCTCAACCACTCTCAGTCTTCGTGGCATTCTTGGTGACAAGTATTTGTGCAATATTGATCTCCCCCACCACAATGTCAGCCCCTGGAGGACAAGCAGCTGATTCGTCCTGTCACTTCTGTGGCACCTGCACCCAACACAGGACCTAATATTCACCCACCAGTGTTTATTAAGCACCTACTATGTGCCAGGCCCTGTTGTAGGTGCTGAGGATACAGCAGAGAATAAGACAAATCCCTGTGCTCAGGGGGCTGATCCTCTAGCACCCAGGATGTGTTTGTTGAGCAACTATTTACTTCTATCAGTTGGTTAGAGCTTAGTGTTGTAACACCAAGGTTGAGGGTTCAGATCCCCTAACTAGCAAGCCATCCCCCCAAAAAACTATTTGTTTCTAGGATAGGATGTAAAAGAATGGCAAGCAGATTCTCTCAGGTTGGCTTTCTCTGACCCTCCCTCTCAATTTCTAAATCCTAAATGTCAGCTTCTTCCTGCACACCCAGTGTCAGTCTGAGCCTTTTAATGACAGTTTTGGGGCCATTTTGCTGTCTGATAATCCATTTCTGTCCAACTTATCACCTTTCCCTGGGGCCTCCTTGGCTTAAGTCAAGTCATTCTCCAGTTGAAGAACCCTCAATAGCTCCCACTTGCCTCAAGGAGAAAAAGGAACTCTGGCCCTACTTTGCTGTTTCTCGAGCTCACATAGGCCTAATGGCTTTTTCTGACTCTATGACTGTGGGCCCCTCCTTCCTCACCTAGTTAGAAAGGGGCAGAGTTCAGTCTGGCTGATTAGGTCAGTTGGTTAGAGCACCACCCTGTAACAACAAGGTCAGGGGTTCAGATCCCTGAACCAGCCAGCTGCCAAAAAAAGAAAGAGGCAGAACCTTTGGGGACCCTTGTCCCAAACTCAGTGCCTTTGGGGGCCAGGTGTGTGATGTATCCTGGCACCTAAGGGAGCTGGGGTGAGCTAGAGAGGAGGTGCCCTGTAGGCAGGGGGTGGTCCTTCCTCAGCCCCACCCAACTGTTCCCCCAGAGCCCCGAATCCTCACCTTTGTCTGGATTTTGTGACCAGCAATCTCCAGACCTTCCTGTGTGGCCTGCTAATTCACACTTGAAACAATGCTGTGTGTGCCAAAGCAAATGCTCGCCGGACCCAGCTTTGGCCCACAGCAGCCTTCTGACCATTTCTGCTTGGCTTACTGGTACCAGGCCCTGCAAAGAGCTTACATGACAACTTCCTTTAATGAAATTGTCATGAGGGACCCTGTAGGGCAGCTTTAATGCTCCCATTTTGCAGATGGAGGAGTTTAGGCTTGGAAACAAGGTCACTCAGCTGGAAAGAGATGGAGCCAGCTGGAAGCCCCTGTCCACCTGCTGTGGGGTCCACACTCTTAGGCTCCACATCGCAGCTCCTCCAGAAGGGAAAAGACTTTTTTCCCCCAGTGAGTTGTAAGATGTGTGTGGAGATGATGGATGTGTCATACTTAGGCCTTCACTGATGGCTTCTTACCCAAAGTTCCTGAGACTATCCCTGCCCGAGGGATTGCCTTCTACCAAGGACCTCTCATTAGGGTGACCTGTTCACGTCCCCTGGGTTCCTGTATGTGGAAGGTTAAGGCCTGCACACCATCTCTACCACCCATCTTGGCCAGAGAGCTGGGCAGCAATTGCCCCTTGAGACAGGGCATGTGCCCTTGGGCTCACCTCAGGGCTGAGTGTCAAGGGCTACTTGTAATTATACTGACCTCGCTGTGTTTATTTAACAAGCACTGATCTCTCATTTCCTGTGGCCCCATGCTAACTGCTCTACAAATATTCTTTAATCCTTATAACAACACCTGGGAGGTGGGCACTATTATTATCCTCATTTTACAGCTGGGGAACTGAGGCATAGAGAGGTTAAGTGACTTGTGCAAGTCCACACAGCCAGTAAGTGGCAGAACCAGGATTCGAACCCACGCAGTCTGGGCCCTCAGTCGCCATGCTGTACTGCCTTGCACAGCAAAGAAACATTCTTCCTTGTTCCTGTTTTTATTAAAAGTGGAAACAGGGCTGGCCGGTTAGCTCAGTTGGTTAGAGTGCAGTGTTGGTAACAAGGTCAAGGGTTCGAACCCCCCTATCAGCCACCCGCCAAATAAATAAATAAAAATAAAAGTGAGAAAACAGGGCCGGCCCCGTGGTGCACTGCTACAGTGCGCCGCTTGGGAGCGTGGCGACGCTCCCGCCGAGGTTCGGATCCCACATACAGACCGGCCGCTCACTGGCTGAGCGAGGTGTGGACGCAACACCGAGGGTTGCGATCCCGTTGCCGGTCACGAAAAAAAAAAAAGACAAAAAAAGGGAAAAAAAAAAAAGTGAGAAAACAAAGGATAGGCTGAGAAATGAAAACATATGTCCACATAAAAACCTGTACTGGAATGTTCATAGCAACTTTATTCATCACAGCCGAAAAGTGGAAATAACCCAAATGTGCGTGAGCGGATGAAAGGGTAAGCAAATGCGATGCACCCATACAGTGGAGTGTTACTCAGCCTTCTAGAGGGGTGATGCTACCTAGGGATGAACCCTGAAAACATGACGTTAAGGGAAAGAATCAGACACAACCACCACATGTTACACCATATGAAATGTCCAGAATAGGCAAATCAAGAGAGGGAGAAAGTAAGTTAGTGGGGATGGGGGTTTCTTGTGAGGATTATAAAAACGCCTAAAATTGATTGTGGAGAGGGAGGCACAATTCTATGAATATTCTAAAAGCCATCGAATTGTACACATTAAATGAGTGAATTGTATAGTCTGGGAGTTTTATCTCAATAAAGCTGTTAAAAAACTAATAGGCTGGGAGCGCTATAGGTTTCATAGACAGGTGAGAAAAAGTATATTACTGTGAGGGGAAAAATAAAGACTATCATCACACTGTTAATCTTTTAAATTTATTTTATCAGATGGAGGAACTTAGGCTTGGAAACTGCATGGGTTTGAATCCTGGCTCTACCACTCATTGGCTATGTAACCTTGCACAAATGTCTTAACTTCTCTGTGCCTCAGTTTCCCCAGCTATAAAATGAGACATACATTTTTTATTGTTTTATTTTCAGGGGCTTTTTCCCCCAAACATTTTATTTTATTTTATTTTATTTATTTTTTTGTCTTTTTCCGTGTCCGGCAACAGATCGCAACCCTCAGTGTCGCCCCCGTACCGGACCGGGACCGGCAACGGGATCGCAACCCTCGGTGTTGCTCCCGCGCCTCGCTCAGCCAGTGAGCGGGAACCGGTCTGTATGTGGGATCCGAACCCTCGGGCGGGAGCGCCGCCGCGCTTCCCAAGCGGCGCACTATCCAGTGCGCTACCGGGCTGGCCCTTCCCCCAAACATTTTATAATTAAAAAATTTTTTTTCACTTTATAATGAAAACAAAACCTTTTTTTTTTTGGTGGCTGGCCAGTATAGGAACCTTGGTGTTATAAGGCTGCACCCTAATCAACTGAGCTAACCAGCCAGCCTTAATGAAAGATTTTATTTTTATTTCTTTATTTTTTAAAGATGACTAGTAAGGGGATCTTAACCCTCGACTTGGTGTTGTCAGCACCATGCTCTCCCAAGTGAGCCAACCGGCCATCCCTATATAGGGATCCGAACCCATGGCCTTGGTGTTATCAGCACCACACTCTCCCAAGTGAGCCACGGGCCGGCCCTTAAATGAAAAATGGTATAAATTAGAAGAATGAGGGCCGGCCCGGTGGCGCACTGGAGAGTGTGCCGCTTGGGAGCGTGGCGGTGCTCCCGCC